TAACATATACACGCAGAGGTTAACGTGTAACGTTAACATTGATACAAACGGAATTCACGCATCGTGAAATAATAATTTCCCTTGGGCATTTAAATCCATTTAAATAATTATTATTACGCAGTGACTATTTTATTAAATGTTCCATTTGTGATTAAAGCTATATTTCAGATTTAAGGCTGACTAACAATGTGACACTAGATATTTTCATGAACAAAACAATATAATCAAAGCAGCGATTATTTGTCATTATTTAGGCGACAAATAATGTTACGCTGCTACCTGGATTTATGAGAACGATATAAGTCTTTATAGGTTTTAATACTAAAGTTTTTTTGAACTACAAAAAAATCCGCGATTGAAAATAAAATACACTAGAATCACACAATCCGTATGAAGACTTTTAATACGATACCATTAGGAAAAGATACACTCTCCCTCACTCTAATGTAAAACATGCTCTCCGTGCTCAATTCGAGGTAATAGCTTTCCAGTGTTAGATGTACAATATGCATGAAGCTGCAGAAAATTTCAAGAAGAAAACGAGGCAACAAGATAAAAGAAAGATAAAAAAGTAAAAAGAAAAAAAGAATCAGATATTAAAACCTTCCAAAATTAATTTATATTCAAATGCTGAGAACATAAAATAATAATTTTCTACAAAAAATAAGAGTTACACATATTACAAAAACATCCTTCCCTTATGTTGAAAAAATTACTTTATCTTTTTTAAACTTTTTCAGAATAATTTCAAATGTATCTCCTAACTAAAAAAAATATTTTGCTATAAAATGTTTGTAAAATAAAAGTTATAAAAAAATCATATCTCAAAAACAATGTAAAAATTCTAAAATCTACAAAATTAGCTTTAACATCAAAGAATAATAAGATATATTAAGATTATAATAGATTCAATAAAAAGGATAAAAACAGATTCGATGATAGAAAATTACATAAAATTGGCAAATTATATACAATTCATAAAATTGGAAAATTATATAAAATTTATATAATTAGCAAATTATATAAAATTTATAAAATTGGCAAAATTATTGGTTCCTTTCCTCCTCCTTGCTTCATAATATTATACTTAAAGAAGTTTTTCTTTCTTAAACGAGCAATTTTGCGCTGATTACTGTAACCCCCTATCTACTTTAGCCCCTATCACCCTTTAGAGAATACTATAGAAACGCGATCTAAGGCACTGTTCCACTGTATCTATATATAACGATTGGAATTGAATTCATCGAAATTATACCAGTTTCTATCTGAGTCGACTTTGATAAAACGAACAGAAATGCGAAACGCACGCTTTCAATCGAACACGAATTGTTACGTATTTGCATTTGTTGTAAGCCTCAGAGAAACAACATACGAATATCTTTGGAGGTTTCTGAGAAAACGAAAAGCTCAACACGACATATATTAACGACGAGAATTAATACCAGGATGCTATTACAAATTGTTTCGCATAAGCAAAACGATTCTCGCTGTCACATGTATTAGGAGATATTGCGCAATGCCTGCACTTTATGACGGAGAATAATAAGGAGGAAGATTTATTATGAGTATCATTAAATATGATCGCATCGTAATCCTACTATAACGCAAGAAAAAAATATTTCTAGAAATTTTAATGATAGAATATGAGACATTATTTATTTTTCTTTTCGTAAAAAAACAATTTAAAAAATAATTATTGCATTTTTATATTAATAATAGTAAATAAATACTCATTTTTAATTTTATTGTTCTAAAAAATCTATATATTTAAGAAAATACTTAAAAGAATTGCAATTATCTAGATTTCTATGTTTTTTTCTCACATTTTCACGATTATCTATCCATTTAAAACGCTTAATATTAAATATAACTATTTAATATCACATATTTAATGAGAATTGCGTTTGCATATTAACGTAAGATAGGTATCAGAGAATATTTAGTCATCGAATCTGTGATGACAATACGGAACTGAGTGCATTCATGAAACATTCCTCTGTAGTATTTTCGTACATACATACATACATACATCATCATGAGTTTAGAATACGTCAATTTTCAGGTAAATTACTCGATTAATTGACTAAACATACCAATCAATTGAGCACCTTCACTGAACCGATTGCCCCGATTTACTATAAAGCAAATCCGTATTTGTAGATGCTAATTACGTTCGCTATTCAAAGACATCGAAGCGCGTACGTGGATTTCATTCGCGAAAGCGCCATTCTATTAACACGAGACAAACGACGAATGCAGTTGCGAGAAAAAGCAATCCTCTCTGATGCGGAGATTGCATCGCTATGTCAAAGCCGAGTTGGGAATCATACCGTTGCAACCGGAAGCTGATACCGATGGGCGCGCTGATGACAGAAGACAGATCTGAGTAAAAAGCAAGGCACTTTTACGAGCTGAGATGCACTTTAACGAGACTCACAAGCGGGGACCGATAAAAGAAAATGCGTAAAAGTAATAGCTAGTAAGGAGAATAAAGATGAAGCATCCTACTCTGACGAGAAACGACTTGGAATCAGGATTTTCTTCCGCTCGGTAACGTATGGCGACATTTTAATGGTAACTACCGTTGACTCAGACTTCCCCCAATTTCCCTCCCACCAATGAGATTTAAATTGTTTCCTTTTCTTTATCTCAAAATCGTTTAGCGCCGCGATTCGATTGCGTACGTATCGCGGTTCTTACATTGTGATTTGATAAAGTTAAAGCAAATCTCTTTCAAAATATGATATTTCGTTCCAATATTTTCTAGGTATTCTTTCTTCTTTCGCGAAAGAAAAATAACATTGAAAATAAAAATATAATCAGAAAGAAAATTAGATTAAAGAAAAATAAAAATAAGATTATTTGTATAGCATCTTCATGTAGAATTGTGAAAAATTGAAAATGCATTTATGAAAAATAGTTTTAAAATAAGACAAATATAATAATGTATAGAATTACATAAATGGCTCTTAAATCACAATAATAAATAATCTAATATAAATCTTTCTTATATAAATCTATCTTATAGAATTTGAATTAAGATTAAATTTCCATTTGGTTTATAAATTGCCGCATCTAAAATTCCTGGATCATTCCTATAAGAGGACCCAGCTAACGCTTTCGTGGCGAAGAAGCAAGGGAACTGCTTTGACAGATGAGAAAGGACAGTACGGAGAAAGAGAGAGAAAGACAGAAAGAAACAGAATGAAACGGAGGAAGACATAGAAGGGGACTAGAATGGAGAACTAGACGCAGGCGCAAAAGCTACCCCATTCCAGTGTACGAGGCGTCGCGACGCCTTTTCGCTTCATTCGACGTCCGGACGTCAACTTATCACATATGCGGGCGTGTGATGCTCCTCGAATTTCTATCTAACGTAAAACAGCTGTGTTGTTTGCAAAAGAATTGCTAACAAAGCAAAAACAAAGTCACGGAACAATCAGTGCGAGTGTAATAAATATCACAAAGAATTAAAATAAGCTATATTAAAAAGAGATAAGGCGATACAAACGTAAAACGAACGATCTCAAATTAGCGCTTAAAGTAATTTTAGCCAGCGGCGAAAGCTCATTCCGCGATTCCGCGATCAAGAGCTCGCTTAATGATCGGTTAAGTGTGGGCGGTAATTCGATCTACATGCAGCAAGAGAAGTGGGAAATTGAAAACGGAATGTTTGTGCATCTCTTTGTTCGGATTGACGATAATGCTCGTTTCGTGCCCGAACGATTATTACGCTGTGCGTAGAAAAGTGTTTCTATGGCACTCGAGAATCATTCGCACTACACCAGGGTGCGGCAACCACAGTTAATAACTGAAGCGTCCTTCTTACACGTGTCACCAGCCGTACGTATCATCGGCAATTCGTATCACATGTCATAGTGATCCTGAACAACACAAAAATTCGATTCACTCGAAAAGTTGCGATTTCTCGAATATGGAAAGCTGGACTCCACGCGGGCGGTGTGGCTAATTTCCAGGAAAATAAATTTTAATTAAATTAAACATCGCCCTCCCTAATTGTAATTATATGTGTCTATTAATTAATAATACTACTTGGTATTGATGTTAAATATTTGAATAATATAAACTTCTGCTAAAGAATCTATTATCTTTATTATTGCAAAAAGGAGAAACATAATCTTGGCATTTGTTATATAAAAACTTGACATTATTAGCGCACAATATCAATTTGTATCTTTTAAGCGCTGAAATATAACTCTAAAAAGTGAAATATAATAGTTGAGGCAAACTAACTGCACTCGTATTCGACGCTCCGCTTGAAAACCTCAAATTGTCATACGATAATAACAAAAGTTTTATTACTATTACATTTCAACGTTTCATCGTACGCCCTTTGACAGCGTAAAAGTTTAACCAAAACATATTCGACTATGATCGTTCGAATTAGATCGAGAGAGAGAATTTTCAAACACATAGTAACTTTATCCTTCCCTTCATATCCGCGCGTGTACGAGCACAAATCGTCTCAAAGTTATCGTGTGATTTCCAGCTCGAAGAATGTAGAAAAATTATCACATTCTATCCGCATCAAATCAGTGAACAATTTCTGATCAAACTTAATCAACCGAAATTTTAAAGTGAATCAAAGATGTGATGTATAAGTAGACGGCAGAGTGATTCGATTTTCTCGATCATATCTCTCCGAGATGACACAGAAATGACGAAAACGTTTTCCCGTTTGCTATAAAATATGCCAATATCAATTTATGAATGTTCTCTAATATAGGAATCATTAAGAATTAGTAGCAATTAACACTGCTAAGTAAGCTGTGTGTAATAAATGTCTTCATTAATCTGACAGTAATAACTTTTAAAAAACTTAATTGTGATTGTAATCTTAATTTCATCGTCATTAATATGTGTAAATCAATAGCGTCGCAATATAATCGTCAGTTATTAATATAATTTCATATGATTAACTCCGATTCATGTTACTCCATTTATGTAACGTTCTTCAATGAAAAAACATCAAGAAAATTATTGTCATAGACGGTAATGATTCATCCGAGGAGAATAGAAATTCCAAAAGACGAGAAAGAAGAGTTCATTGATCCCACAGTGGTAGTGCACTTTGCTCCTTCGCAGGACCACTTCAGTTTGCAAAGATGAATTTCAGCCAGAACTTCATGCCGGCGCTGGAACCCACGGGATACGAGTGCGGCGCGCGCTTGGAATCCTTCTACAATTGGTATGCTCAGGTGCATGGCTGGGCAAGTCTATTGGTATGCATATTCGGCTCAATTGCCAATGTACTCAATATCGCCGTGCTAACGCGTCGTGAGATGCAATCGCCTACTAACATGATTCTCACTGGTCTCGCCGTGGCCGATTTACTCGTGATGATCGAGTACATTCCTTACGCGATCCATATGTACCTGTATCAACGGCCCCGCAGAGATACCTTCACTTACGGTTGGAGCATCTTCGTCCTGTTCCATTCTAACTTCACACAAGTATGTCATACAATCTCAATTTGCCTGACGGTGACTCTAGCAGTCTGGAGATATATTGCAGTAGCATATCCACAGAGGAATCGCGAATGGTGTAGTAACAAACGCACTTCCCTAATGATCGCCTTCGCTTATGTGTCCTGCCCAATACTTTGCATACCGCTTTATATCAACACCGAAGTGAGACCGCAAATGGAAATATTGGATGAACGGGGAATGAGCGTCAATCTAACAAAACTCCAGCAGACGACCAACAGCACAGTCGTGTCTCTCGAAGGCATGACTAACACCACCCTATATTTTGTGAAACTCACCGAGTCTCCAATGAGCAATGTTCTCAAGGACATCAACGTTTGGATCTATAGCGTGGTAATCAAACTGATACCATGTGTGGCATTAACGGGATTGAGTATTAAACTAGTCAAGGTATTGTTGGAGGCAAAACAGAGGCGAAAGAAACTTACTACGAAAAACATAGCAATCAAGATGGGCAACGGCAAGGAGCACGCCTGCGAGAAATCCAAGAAGAGAAGAAAGGGCAACGATAAAGAAAGACAGACTGACAGGACTACGATGATGTTGTTAGCGGTGCTCCTGTTATTCCTCTTCACGGAGATGCCACAGGGCATTTTAGGATTACTCAGTGTTATACTGGGCCCGAGTTTCTTCAACACGTGCTACGTGATGTTAGGTGAGTTCAAAATGTATCAAAATACACTACAAATAAATACTTAACTGTAGTTGTTTGGGAATTGATGTATAATTTAAAATTTTTCTTTTATTTCTAATCCGATTTATATGCAAATGAGTACTCATATTCAACGATTAAAAATACTTAAGAAGCATATCCTCTTCATTTACATAATCAATTTTATGATTCAATGAATCATAAAATAATAAATTTGTACTTATCAGCAATAAATCGTATACTGTAATATGTCACATTTGTCATATATTTCATCATTATATCGAAAGCTGAGATTTAATTAATAAATTCTAATGAAATTTTTTTTAATAAATAAATATCTGATCTGTACTAACAATGATAAATGTGCAAGAATTAAATTCTATATAATATAATGATATAATATTATTATATATGTTATTATTCATTTTATGTCATATATTGTTTTAAATTAGTTTCATTTCTATTATTCTCAAGTTCAATAAAGGTTTTTATATAATTTAGCTATAAAAAAGATGAAAATAATTTTAATGAGAAACTAAATAATCGTTGATATGTTATATAATTCTTTTGTATCACTTTCCAATATCATTTCCATGAAAAATCTTTAATGACTGCTAACGTAATTTACGCACAAAATCAATAACCGCTATTATTTGCCACATTATATATTTTTAAAAGTATAGAAATATCGTAAAAAAATGTTATTAAATTCGATAATGCAGTATTAAATAGTATTAAGTTATAAGCTAACAGAAAAATTACGATGACAAAAATTCAAGATAATGAAATTGAGTCCGTACAATTCAAAAGCAAAAAGGCGATTCAAATTCAAGCCACAAAAACTCATACGAATTTCAAGTATTTTCTGTGAATTTCATGAATTTATCTATAAGAAAGAGAAAGAGAGAGAGAGAGAGAGAGAGAGAGAGAGAGAGAGAGGTCTTGTTTGCTGAAGCATCGTAAATAGAAAAACACACCGTCGCACTCGATATTTACGATAAAACATATATAAAACTCCTATCGTAAAAGTTCTTCAAGAGTAAGAGAAAAAAAAGTTCATCATAGAGAGGAGAGAAAGAAAGAGAAAGAGCCTAAAATATGACGGTCCAATAGGTCATGTAAGAAAGTTTTAATAAGTGCAATTACGATCAGAGAAATAACTGCTGTGACAATATTTCACGCACAGAACGATAAATCATTAATGTTCTTCTGTTAATTGGTATATATTTGGAAATTGACACATTTGGTATACATTTAAAAATAATATTTAAAAATTATCAAGATAATAAAAAATGGATCCAAAATTATTGTAAAATTTTATTTACCGCAAAAAAATTGACGTAAGATTAAATTTTATTTTGTATTACTAGAATAACAAGAAATTTCTCAGAAAAGCTATCTTCTATTAAAAGAAAAAAGTTTCATCTAAATTATATAACCATCACTCTAGCGAAAGATCATATGGTTCATAATTGATGTGCTCGATATTACGATGTCTCATGCGTGAAATATGAAATTGAGGCGGAAACACTGTTACGCAGATCAAATTATGCATTTTACGAACATTAAATATGTTTACTTTACGTCACCGACATTTTCATCGTCGTCACGTTTAATCTGCATTTTACATCATCATATATTATACGTTGCTCTGAAATTGTTACGAGATGTGAGTGGTTGAAAGCATAGCAAATACTTTTAAAAGCTGTATATTAATATATAATGTCAATTACAACTTATTATCATAACTGTACTTTTATGGTATTTTATAACAACGCATTACTTCATCATATATCATATTACATCATTTTCATACAGATTTATAATATATTTCAAAATTCTTGTTAATAGATTATCCAAGCAGGATGTAATAGCGATTTATTTATTATGCTAAAAGTTATTGAAATAATCATCATTCGTTTCATATAAAAAAATAAAAAATAGAAATATTTATTGTATAATGATTTCGTTACATTCATAATACGACAAACTTACAATAAAATATTTAAAAAAACCAATATTTCCCTTTTTACCGTATACATATACGGTCTTATCATAAATATACTGTTAAAAGCAGAAAGAATGTCGCGCAGAATATTATGTACGACAAATCTTGAATCTATATGATCTAAATGTGACATAATAGGGTCTTTTTGCCCCGTCAGAATATTGAATCCGGAAAAAGCACCGAACACTCGTTGCTAGATGTCAAAACTTCACAAATATTTTATGTTATATAAAATTCCATCCTGAACCTCTTAAGTAAAGCTCGGATTCTTCGTCGATATGTTATCGTACATCAAATCAATCTATCAACTATTTTAAGAAATGGAAGAAAAATATTTTTCATATTCCGAAGAAAACTGAGGTATACCTGAACATAACTCATTTTCTCATTTCATTGCGTTATTCTCTTTTGATTTCACGATCTAATTATCAAGAGAACGTGTATAATTTTGTAAGATAATTTGAATATTTTTATAAAATAATTA